TAAATTAAATCACAGCAAATAATCCATCGACAAATTTACACAAATCCGTTAATCTGCGCTCACTGGCAAAACAATATTAAATTATGAGGCGATAAAGAATAAAATCCATTGTAGGTGTTAAAACATAAATTGATTTACTTCAAATTACGAGGCAATAAAGGACAAACTCCGTTGCCTGAGTTAAGACGTAAAATGGCTTTTTCTTGAAATAAACCACTCGAAATAGCTCAAAATTCCTGTTTCAACTCAAATTATTAATATCTACCCCTAACCAACGATGTAGATCTGCATTAGCTAAACATTAAATTCCTGCAACCCTAATCGTTAAGCAACGCTCTAATGCAGCGTTTAGCCATCAATTCACCTTAAGAAAAAGCTTCTACATTACCTATTGCTAAATATTTAACCATCACTTCGATAACTTCACTTTGATTAAAATACAACTCTTCCAGGTAAGAGAGAAAAGCCAGAGGTGGTATGAATTTACAACACGAAGAGCTGCCAGATTTTTGATTACCCAAACTTTTATCACTTCTCTATCCCTACTTTCTTGGCTTGGTACCATACTAACCACTTACCGTCTCACCTATTGATGAATTTATTATTATTTTTGGGTTAATGCATACTAATTAGTTTCTCACTTTCACTAGATATTTACTTTATTTAGTTATGGATTATCATAAGTTATAGGATATTTTTTTAATAATTTAAATATTGTATTATTAGTTAGTAGGTTCTTAAACAATAATTTTAAACTTATTTGATGACAAACACATTGGGAGTATTTATAAAATTAGTTTCTTTAAAAATATTTGTAATTTATTCGATAATTTAGGTAAATGAATTATGGAGGAACATAAGTTTCAGGTTTTTCTTTTGTTTTTTTTTATTTACTAGGTTTGTGGTTTCTTTTCATTTGAAGTTCAGTTTTGGACAGTTTCACCTCTGGAAGTTGCTAAGTGCATTCGGTAGAATACACTATCTGGCATGCTCCTAAATATAACGCATAAGTATAATGTCTTTGAATTCTGAAGTGCTACAGATTAGGTCAGAATATAACTGGAAATTTCGATCTCCCCATCACAGAAACTGCACTTGTACGATCTGATTTCACCCTAACACTTTTATTAATTGATTTTGGCAATTGACTTTGTTTTTAGACAGACTCTGTATATTTTGACGGTATCTTTCTGGGTCTTATGAAGTTGAAATATTAATGTGATACAAACCTTGTGTTTGTTAATGTTTTTTGTTATTTGAGACTAAAGTTCTCTCCTAGAGTGCATATGTGGTGGCCTTGGTTTCCAGCTAACGGCCGTCGATAGGTTTCTTCGGGGCCAGTCGTGGTGGCACGCAGATTTGATCTATTTTGTTTATTTTTGGTTGTTTGATTATTGTGGTATTGGTCACGATGTCACTTGAAACAATAGTTCTGTCCTAGAGTGCCTGAGATAATTCTTGCCTTTCCAGCTTACGGCTGTTAGAGGAAATTCTTCGGGTTTTACTGTAGTGACACTTGTGCTCGCTAATTGATTTTGTAATCGGAACTTGCGAGTTTCTGACTCGTTGTTTAATGTATTTGACGATGGGTTGTATGTGATCTTGGCGATGCTTTCAATGCCTCATTTTTTGCCAATATTGTTATCCCTTTTACTGCATCGACGGTGAGAGTTAATTTTTATTTTTCTTTAGTTTGGTTTCATAAGGCATATCACCCAAGTTCGACAGTATGATCTAAAATTACTTATTTTGATAATCGTGTGATTAATCCACGAATTTTTACGGCTAAAAAGACCCGAGAATTTAACCTAGGTCTGTCTTCGTCAATAAGGCAGACTGACGTGCTTAAATATTTTTGTACAATTTTGTTTCTTCCTGTGGGTTCGCCATAACCCATATTTTCAGTCTGGTGAAAACTATATTTCACTAAGGTTATAGAATCTCTGAACATTTGTTCTAAAAATATATTAGGTGTAATTTAAATAGTTTTTTAGTGGGGCTTCTGTTTACCTTTTATGTGTATGCATTATCTTTAGTTCGTTAATTCAATCAAATTATAAAATATGTTATTAATTATTGTTTTGACGTAAACAGCTGGACTTAACTGACTTGACGTTTCGAAAAGTCGACTGTTGACTCTGTCATAGTCAAAGCGCATTTAATTGTAGTTCTGACGGTCGAGACAGTATACATGTATTGAATTAAGCTAGTTTTTTTTTCTTTCAAGGCCTTGGTCATTTTGAGAAACGGCCACAGCTGTTTCTGCTGGAAGTGCGGTTAGAGTCGAGCTTGCGTGATGAAGATTATTTTGTTCTCGAATTTTTGGATTGTAACGTTTTTCCGGAGTGATGACCGAGTTTCGTTACTTGCTGTTGACAACTATACGGGGCTAGTCACGAGTCGAAATTCGACATCAAAAAAGAAATGTGGTTTCGTTTCAGGAAATCCGGAAAGTTTTGTTTTATTCCAACCTACGAATGTAAAATTTATTTTCCTGTATTATTTTAAGTAATATTTTGGGAATAGGTTTGTTTCTATTTCTTACGATATAGTAAAACACATAGTAATGGGACTTAAATAATTTTATTTAACTAATAATTTTTGGTAAATTATACGACTGAATTCAAGTGGTATTTTCATCGGGTTAACTAAACTTTATCCTTACAATACACCGTTCAGATAACACTTACAGAGAAGGCCTTGGTACCAGAGCATTGACCCTGTGATAATAAATTCTATTTACTCTTGTAGCAGGGGATGATTTGCCCCAACTAATATTTGATTTATGTCCTAGGGACATCTACCTTAGTTACATTTACTTTTATTTTATGCTATAACTCACTTAATACATATCTGTATATTTGTTTAAATTTTTTTGTCCAAGGGACATACTTACTGTGTATATAAAATAATACTTGTATATTTTGACATCACGTATTTGTGGAAAATAATGACTATTGATATTATTGATTAATGGATATTATAGGTTAAAAGTTTTTACCGTTGTTGTGTTACTATAAGACCTGGAGGTACATTGTTCAGCTTCACTACTGGGCGAGGTTAACAACTTAATAAATGGTATAAGCTGGAGTTTTTGTTGTCTCATTTTGTTTCCATTGTTTGATCGATTTAGGTTAGGGACAAGAAAATATATTTATCTGACATTTAAATCGGTCTGACGCCCATATGTCATGTCATAAATACTGTGAATCTTGGTACTAAACGGACCACGCTTTCTCTACTCTGAGCGAAACCAGAACCAAGACTATTCATCAGACAGTCGAAACTGTTTGCGTTACTTGTAGATCTTCATAAGCTGGAAATTGCCTTGGTAAGTTCATTTTACGTCAATCATTGGACCTGAACGCTGACTGCGTTTACAGAGAATTTAAAAAGTAACATCTATCGTCTACTTTTGTCAGTTTTCTAAGGTGTGAGTTAACAATGCCCAGTAAAAATCCTGATACAATGCATAGCCTGTTCTTGCTCAGGCAGACACAGGCTTCCGATCTTTTCTGGTTATATTCACCCATAAGTCTCGTAGCTTGTCTTAGCACAAGATATTTTTTTAATTATCGGTTCTTTTACTGCCCAATTTCTTTTTTAATCTCTCCTGCTAATACCCCAGAACGGCCAGGTCGCCACAATGGGTATTTGATTATTCTTCCTTGCGAGACTATCTGCAATCTCGTTACTCTGGACCCAAGTAAAACAAGCCCCCCTCTTTACGGGCCCCTGAAATCTCTATATTCCAAATCTCATCAAAAGTGGCCAGATAGTTTGGAATGTATCTTGCTAACCAAAAACGTCCTTCCTGTTTATATCTAAAATTTTAAAATTTTGGGTGTTGCAATTATCTTCCCCCATTTTTATGGGTTGGTGGATCCAAATTAATAGTAACAGTAGAAGGCAAAATTTTTAAGAAGTTTGCCACAATCGAGATGCTAGCCGAGAATATAAAAATACATAAACAGGTATTTGACTTCAGTCGTTGACTCAACTGTTTTAGTACAAAAATAATTTCTGCTAAACTAAGGAATTGGACGGTGGTAAAACTAGAACTAAATAAAATTATATGTAAGAAACTGGGTAAATAATTGCCAAATAAGAATAGGTTGAAATACAACTATCCTGCTTAGCATCACCGTAACATTGGTGTATTTATACTTCTACAGGGTAAAGAAAGTTAATTTACCATGTGAGCAATCCAATCAAGCAGATAGTCCAAATCATAGGATTATTGAATATTAAATATGTGCGAAACAAATATTGCAACTTAATAAGATGCTTGTAGATGATAATATACCCTTCTTCAGATAATATTAATATTCTGGCAAAATTTATGGAAGATTGCTAATGGAGACCAGAGTAGTTATTGTAAATAGCTATTATCAAGGTACAAGTCGTACCTACTACAGTTTTAAATTATTATTTTGTTAGCAGAAGATTACTACATGATTCAAAATTAAAGATATTTATACTTATACTATTAGAATACTTTATTTATTTTATTCTCTTTTGATTTGGTGTTGTGAGACAATACACCATAGAAAAACCTAATTTTTAATTAGAAAGCAATATAGAAACTAAAAGTCTGTATTAAGCTAAGATGCAATTATATGTTTCAAAATAATGGGACCCTCATGAACATATTAACTAAGTAAATTTAAATAAACTTAGATTATAATCAAATAAATTTAATTAGAGATATTAGAGTAAACAAAAGCCTTTCCTTATCCTCACCTGAAAGTGACTAGTCTCGTTCTAGATTCAAACTGTTAGAATCTATCTAACCGTAGTATATAGTCCATATGTTACTACATTACTTATATAACTATCAGGTATAACCATTTATAATTGTAAAGTCAAACTAATATGCCTAAAACTGACTCTTACACAATATCTTCATTTATAAAATAAAGAAACTGATAAATATATCTTTATAATTTGATTCAAATTCTTTTAAATGAATTAATCTAGCCAATATTTTTCTGTTTTAGCTTAACTGTGAAACGAATCCAAGAGTGATTATCTCAGGACTAAATAAGTATTTGTACGTTAAAATTCGAGGTTCCTTAATGAAGCATTCTACAAGAAAAGGCAACGCTACAGTCAAAACAATTTTCACTGGACAAAAATGTGAAACTTCTAATAGAATAACGGTAGGTTAATGATTTTTACATTTCTTACATTAGGTACCTTGACCAAATATGGACAGGCCTCATATTTTCCTCATTTTCCAATGTTAACTAGAAATTTTTCTTCTTGACAAAAGATAGTGATCTAACGTATGTCCCAATAGGTTTGGCACAAAATTTAGGAGTCTAACAAGTGTAAATTAAAAATTTAAAAAAACCGACTTTAAAAACGTGCGGATGCCATCACCACATCTTAACCAAATTTATTTTGGATCACCCCTGAGGTATCCCCTTACCAACAAAAAAAGAATCATATAAATCGGACAAGGTGGTAAAGCATTATCGCTAAATATACATAAAAAATGCAAGAGTTTGAGGATTTTCTCATAGACCTCATTATTAGATTTTGACTTAATTTATATGGGACCACCCCTAAAGTACCCCCTTTATAACAGAAAACAAACATTGAAATTGGACACCGTGTTAAAGAATAATCGCTGAACATACATAAAAAAAAATATCGCGACGAATTGATAACCTCCTCCTTTTTTGAAGTCGGTTACAAGTATTAGAAATTAAAAATTTAAAAAAACCGACTTCAAAAACGTGCAGATGCCATCACCGCATCTTAACCAAATTTATATGGGACCACCCCTGAGGTACCCCCTTACTAACAAAAACAGAATCATATAAATCGGACAAGGTCGTAAAGCATTATCGCTAAACATACATAAAAAATGAAGAGTTTGAGAATTTTCTCATGGACTGAATTATTAGATTTTAAATAAATTTATATGGGACCACCCCTAAAGTACCCCCTTTCTAACAAAAAAGAATCGTTAAAATCGGACACCGTGTTAAAGAATAATCGCTGAACATACATAACAAAAAAATATCGCGACGAATTGATAACCTCCTCCTTTTTTGAAGTCGGTTACAAGTATTAGAAATTAAAAATTTAAAAAAACCGACTTCAAAAACGTGCAGATGCCATCACCGCATCTAAACCAAATTTATATGGGACCACCCCTGAGGTACCCCCTTACTAACAAAAACAGAATCATATAAATCGGACAAGGTCGTAAAGCATTATCGCTAAACATACATAAAAAATGAAGAGTTTGAGAATTTTCTCATGGACTGAATTATTAGATTTTAAATAAATTTATATGGGACCACCCCTAAAGTACCCCCTTTCTAACAAAAAAGAATCGTTAAAATCGGACACCGTGTTAAAGAATAATCGCTGAACATACATAACAAAAAAATATCGCGACGAATTGATAACCTCCTCCTTTTTTGAAGTCGGTTACAAGTATTAGAAATTAAAAAAAACCGACTTCAAAAACGTGCATATGCCGTCACCATATCTTAACCAAATTATTATGGGACCATCCCTGAGGTATCCCCTTATTAACAAAAAAAGAATCATATAAATCGGACAATTTGGTAAAGCATTATTGCTAAACATACATAAAAAATGAAGAGTTTGAGGATTTTCTCACAGACCCAATTATTACATTTTGACCAAATTTATATGGGACCACCCCTGAAGTATCCCCTTTCTAACAAAAAAGAATTAATAAAATCGGACACCGTGCTGAAGAATTATCGCTGAACATACATAAAAAAAAAATATCGCGACGAATTGATAACCTCCTCCTTTTTTGAAGTCGGTTAACAAGTGTATATTAAAAATTTAAAAAACCGACTTCAAAAACGTGCAGATGCCATCACCACATCTTAACCAAATTTAAATGGGATCACCCCTGAGGTACCCCCTTACTAACAAAAAAAAATCATATAAATCGGACAAGGGGGTAAAGCATTATCGCTAAACATACATAAACAAGTGTAAATTAAAAATTAAAAAAAACCGACTTCAAAAACGTGCAGATGCCATCACATCTTAACCAAATTTATATGGGATCACCCCTGAGGTACCCCCTTACTAACAAAAAAGAATCATATAAATCGGAAAAGGTGGGAAAGCATTATCGCTGAACATACATAAAAAATGAAGAGTTTGAGGTTTTTCTCATGGACCCAATTTTTAGATTTTGACCAAATTTATATGGGACCACCTCTGAAGTAGCCCCTTTCTAACAAAAAATGAATCATATAAATCGGACAAGGTAATAAAGCATTATCGCTAAACATACATAAAAAATGAAGAGTTTGAGGATTTTCTCATGGACCCAATTATTAGATTTTGACTAAATTTATATGGGACCACCCCTGAAGTACCCCCTTTCTAACAAAAAAAGAATCATATAAATCGGAAAAAGTGGTAAAGCATTACCGCTAAACATACATCAAAAATGAAGAGTTTGAGGATTTTCTCATGGACCCAATTATTAGATTTTGACTAAATTTATATGGGACCACCCCTGAAGTAGCCCCTTTCTAACAAAAAAAGAATCATTGAAATCGGAAACCGTGTTAAAGAATAATCGCTGAACATACATAAAAAAAATATCGCGACGAATTGATAACCTCCTCCTTTTTTGAAGTCGGTTAAAAATGAAGAGTTTGAGGATTTTCTCATGGACACAATTTTTAGATTTTGACCAAATTGATATGGGAGCACCCCTGAAGTAGCCCCTTTCTAACAAAAAAAGAATTATTGAAATCGGACACCGTGGTAAAGAATTATCGCTGAACATACATTAAAAAAAAAATATCGCGACGAATTGAGAACCTCCTCCTTTTTTGAAGTCGGTTAACAAGTGTAAATTTAAAATTAAAAAAAAAACGACTTCAAAAACGTGCAGATGCCATCACAACATCTTAACCAAATTTATATGGGATCACCTTTACTAGCAAAAAAAGAATCCTATAAATCGGACAAAGTAGTAAAGCATTATCGCTAAACATACATAAAAAATTTGGTCAAAATCTAAAAATTTGGTCCATGAGAAAATCCTCAAACTCTTCATTTTTTACGTATGTTTATGGGGACCACCCCTGAAGTAGCCCCTTTCTAACAAAAAAAGAATCATATAAATCGGACAAAGTAGTAAAGCATTATCGCTAAACATACATAAAAAATAAAGAGTTTGAGGATTTTCTCATGGACCCAATATTTGGATTTTAACCAAATTTATATGGGACCACCCCTGAAGTAGCCCCTTTCTAACAAAAAAAGAATCATATAAATCGGACAAGGTAGTAAAGCATTATTGCTAAACATACATAAAAAATGAAGAGTTTGAGGATTTTCTCATGGACCCAATTTTTAGATTTTGACCAAATTTATATGGGACCACCCCTGAAGTAGCTCCTTTCTAACAAAAAAAGAATCATATAAATCGGACAAGGTCGTAAAGCATTATCGCTAAACATACATAAAAAATGAAGAGTTTGAGAATTTTCTCATGGACTGAATTATTAGATTTTAAATAAATTTATATGGGACCACCCCTAAAGTACCCCCTTTCTAACAAAAAAGAATCGTTAAAATCGGACACCGTGTTAAAGAATAATCGCTGAACATACATAACAAAAAAATATCGCGACGAATTGATAACCTCCTCCTTTTTTGAAGTCGGTTACAAGTATTAGAAATTAAAAATTAAAAAAAAACCGACTTCAAAAACGTGCATATGCCGTCACCATATCTTAACCAAATTAATATGGGACCATCCCTGAGGTATCCCCTTATTAACAAAAAAAGAATCATATAAATCGGACAATTTGGTAAAGCATTATTGCTAAACATACATAAAAAATGAAGAGTTTGAGGATTTTCTCACAGACCCAATTATTACATTTTGACCAAATTTATATGGGACCACCCCTGAAGTATCCCCTTTCTAACAAAAAAGAATTAATAAAATCGGACACCGTGCTGAAGAATTATCGCTGAACATACATAAAAAAAAATATCGCGACGAATTGATAACCTCCTCCTTTTTTGAAGTCGGTTAACAAGTGTAAATTAAAAATTTAAAAAACCGACTTCAAAAACGTGCAGATGCCATCACCACATCTTAACCAAATTTAAATGGGATCACCCCTGAGGTACCCCCTTACTAACAAAAAAGAATCATATAAATCGGACAAGGTGGTAAAGCATTATCGCTAAACATACATAAAAAATGAAGAGTTTGAGGATTTTCTCATGGACACAATTTTTAGATTTTGACCAAATTGATATGGGAGCACCCCTGAAGTAGCCCCTTTCTAACAAAAAAAGAATTATTGAAATCGGACACCGTGTTAAAGAATTATCGCTGAACATACATAAAAAAAAAATATCGCGACGAATTGATAACCTCCTCCATTTTTGAAGTCGGTTAATAACCTCCTCCTTTTTTGAAGTCGGTTAAAAAATAGGCTATAATGATAAAATATCAAAATGTCTTTAGAACCAAAAAATAGTTTATTCTTTTTGACATTTGTTAGACAAATCGTTTTTAATGTCAGTTGCATTAAAATGTCTTAAAAGTTAGAAATAAGATAATGCATTTATAATTTGGTTGGGCGGATTACTAAGGCTGAAATAGTTTGCATTTTTCAAAACCAAAATTTTTCACGCAGAAGTATTTACCGTGCTATTGCCGAATGTGAGAAGGAATATCTTGTCTATATCTCCCAAAAAGTGGAAGACCAAGAATTTTTACCCGAGAAAGAGCAGGAAGATTGGTAAGAAGAGCAAAAGACGGAGTAGAAGAAAATTAGCACGTCAATTTGGTTTTTAAAATAGTAGAGTGTCTCGAGAATTAGCAAGAAATGATAAAAAATATCGAAAAAGACGAAAGTTCTCTAAATATACCCCAAATCAGCACGGATACCAATATGCTGTCGTCAACTAAGGCGGATACATTTTGCGAATGAAAGAGTCATTATTATAGACGATGAAAAATATTTTATACTTGCCAACTCGGAAATCAAAGGAAACGATGGTTTTTAAACAGATAATATAGAAGAGTGCCCAAATAATGTAAAATATATGGAAAAACAAAAATTCGCTGATAAAGTTTTTGTCTGGTGTGCGATTTCGACTAGGGGGATTTCCAGACATGTAGGTCGAGTAAGGGGGGAAGCTATTGATTCCGAAAGGTATATTGGTAATTACCATATTATATATACCAATAAAAACTCCCAGGCCGGATATTTTGGTAAGTAATAGAGATATTTTAATTCTGTTAAAGCCAGTTCACAGAGCACTAAGAGAGCTTCCGTTTTAAATATAAATTGATTTTAAATAGGTCAATATGTAGATGGCGCTGGGCTCAATAATTTCGATGGGAGGATCTCTCTTGTGTAGCGCATCTTGTAAAAAATGCATTTTTAAGCAGATTATGTGTTATGAACTAATTCGATATATCTATCCATTTTTGATATACAGAGTGGGTCACTCAAAACAGTTTCATCCTGTTTTTCGGCATTAATCATTGGATTTTTAGAAAATGTTAAAACAGGTTGATTTTTATTCCAAATTAAACACATTTTTACAATACAGGCATCTGTCATGTGTCAACCCCTCCCTTGTACTTCTCCACACCATAATTTTAAATAGGTAATGTACCATGTATGGCACATCATTGAAAAGGTAATTTAATGGGGGATTCAGAAATTATTGAAATCGGACACCGTGTTAAAGAATTATCGCTGAACATACATACATAAAAAAAAATATCGCGACGAATTGATAACCTCCTCCTTTTTTGAAGTCGGTTGAAAATCAATTTAAACATAAAACTAAAGCTCTCTTAGCGCTCTATGAACTGGCTTTTACAGAAATAAAATATCTCTATTACTTACCAAAATATCCGGCCTGGGAGTTTTTATTGGTACACCCTGTATATATTAACAACTGCCTCACTAAATTAGTTGATTTTGTACACCAACATCACGAGGGAGACGATATAATGTTTTGGTCCGACTTAGCGTCATGCCATTTATGCAAGAGCAACTCAAAATTGGATCACGAAAATAACATACCTTTTGTACCAAAAGAAGGCAACCCCCTAATTTACCTCAGGCCCGCCCAATTGAAGATTTTTGAGCACTTTTATCTCACAAAGTATATGATGAAGGGTGGCAAGCCAAAAATGAGGAAATACTACGGCGTAGAATGTTTAGAAAGATACACCAAATAGATGTAGAGGACCTAATGAGCAACGTTGGCAAAGTTCATAATATTGTCAGTTACTAAGTCGTTATTTAACGCAAATAATAAAAGTTTAAAAAAAAGTGACTTATTAACGGGATGGGTGGCTCAGTGGTAGAGTCTCTGCCTGTGGATCCAAGGGTCCCAGGTTCGAATCCCACCGTTGGCCGGAATTTTTTAAATTTAATTTAATTATTTAAAATTAATTCTGATGCCTTGGAAGGATTCCCCACTCGACTATTCACTGTTGGGTTTTAATTAACAGTGCTGTTTCTAAAGTGGCGCTGGGAAACAGTAACACCTACACAGAACACGAGGCAAAATAACAGCGGTTGAAGCCGATGACATACCAAAAAAAAAAAGTGACTTATTACAAAAATATAGGGTTAAATATTTTGTGCCAAAACTATTGGGACGGTATTATACTACGATCCGACAGCAATCAGTCATCAAAGTGCAACGGTAGTGCATTAGAAGTAGTCGTTGTGTATAAATGTTGTCACGCTGCAGATTATTTTTTATTAAATCTAATAGTCCAGGATCCGTAAGTAAGGTCGACCTTCACCCATCTGTTTAAAGGATAAAAGTTTATTTTTATTAGATAAAATATGTTTCTAAATATACCGCAAATGGGTTGCCTAAAAAAATACGGTCACAGCCATTTTTTGCTTTCCTTTCTGTGTACAGATAAGGAAAGTATAGGAATCATGATAAAAGTTGCTTATGATGTCATTCTCTATTATTTTGTCCATATACATTATTTCCTTAAAATGGACCTAATTCGAGATATTTAAAAAAAAGTGCAAATTTCGAATCTTGAAGACAACTCAAAAACGGATAAAGAGAAAAACACCAAATTTTAAACTTAAGCTTTAATATATCCTGCGGTGAGCTGATTAAAGTTTGGGCACAGTCGAAGCATCTGGGGAATACTTTACAGGGTGTCGTTTTTTTATTTTAAGAAAATAAATACTCTGGACCATATTTTCTTAGGCAATCCTTTTGCGGTATATTTATAAACAAATTTTATTTAATAAAACGAAACTTTCATTCATTAAACAGATGGGTGAAGGTCGACCTTACTTCGAATCTTAGACTATAAAAATGTATTCGTATTTTCTTATGCATTCTACTGGTACGAGTTTCGACTCATAGATAAGATCTGAGTTTTATAAGAACCCATTCTATGTATGGAATAAACAAAAACATTCTCTACTAGTGCCCATATTTGATGCCCATACCCAAATTTGAGCAGTTAATAAAATTTAAAAAATAACCAAATTTTAACTGTCATTATTTTTTCATAATAGGTCTTTACAAAAACATACCACATATTCCTTTGACCAAAATAAGTCGATTTAAGTATAATTACCTCAGTACAAAGTTGCTTCGTTTGGGCTCCAGAGGGCCTTGAAGTTACAATTTTTAAATAGTTTTTCCTATATAAATTTAAAACTGCATATGCGATTTTGCTGAAATTTGGTACATTGGTGTGGCAAAAAAAAGGTATTAAAATTTTGTCCGATAATAATACATAGGCGTAGAACTTGATTTTTTAAATAATTTCACTTTTAAAAATTCTACGCCAATGGAAGAAAAGGAGTTTGAGTATGAAATATAGATTGCGCAACTCATTTACTTTAAAACAGGTACTCCTGATAAGACTCGATTACTCTCGTGGTTTTGACAAAATTTGCATTTTAGTAATTTTAGAACATAAACAATAATTATTAAAATACAAACTTTGTCAAAACCATGAGAGTAAATCGAGTGTTATCAAGGGTACTTTTTTTGTAGTAAATGAGTACCCAATCCAAATTTCATACTCAAACCCCTTTTTTGCCATTGGCGTAGAATTTTTAAAGGTGCAATTATTTAAAAAATCAAGTTCTACGCCTATGTATTATTATCGGACACAATTTTATACGATGAAAAACATAAAAATTTACTTTTTTCATATCTTCTTCAACACCTCTAATCGAGACTTTTAACAAAAATACTCGATTCTTGCCATGTACGTTTTTTTGAGGAATATTAATTATTTGCCTGCAATACGTATACAAAAACATTTATTGTCGGTTTCCATAGTTTCATCTAAATAAAAATATTGTCAAGTTTTAACACCTAATCTCTTGTTAACGATTGAAAGTGTTCTATCTGACTCAATAATAAAAAAAAAGAAATGCGTGGTTTATTAATATGGCTGTACAATATACCAATGCAGAATATACCGATATGTTACTGACATTAGGATTTTGTGAAGGAAATGCTCGAGAGAGTGTCAGGGTGTATTCTGAAAGGCTTCCTTATCGTCGTGTACCTAGCCACCCAACTTTTGCTGCTGTTGAGAGACGTCGTCGGGAGACCGGTTCATTTGCTTCCAATACTGTTGATAATGGAAGAGAACGTTTTGTAAGGATTCCTGAAGTTGAAGAAGACATTTTAGAACGTGTTGAAGAAGATCCAGAATTAAGCATCAGACGAATTGGAAGGGAACTAGGAGTAAGTAAAGATGTCGTTCATAAAGTGCTTAGATAACAATTGCTATATCCATACCATAAGAAGCCAGTACAAGAATTATTAGTCCATGATCCTCAAATTCGTTTGGGTTTTTGTCGATTTGTTAATATGCAAAGAGAAAGAGATCCAAACTTTGTCAAGAAGGTTTTCTTTTTGCCGATGAAGCGGGTTTTACAAGAAGAGGTATAACTAATACCCATAATGAACATGTTTATGCCGTTGAAAATCCGCATGCAATAAAGGTAAACCATTTTCAGCACGAATTCAAAATTAATGTGTGGGCTGGAATAATTGGTAATTTCATTGTTGGTCCTGTCATACCTCCACGAAGATTAACAGGAGAAACTTATTTGTATTTTCTACAAAATACGTTGCCAGAATTGTAAGAAGATTTACCTCTCCAACTTCGGAGAGATATATGGTTTATGCAAGATGGAGCTTCACCACATTTTTCTTTAAACGTTAGAACCCACTTGAATGAACAATATCCACACAAAAAACTGGCCACCACGTTCCCCAGACCTAACACCGATGGATTACTTTTAATGGGGACATCTGAAATCCACAGTTTACAGGGAACCTGTAGAAAATGAGGAACAACTCTGGAAACGTATTTAAGATGCAATAAACAATCTTAGAGGTGATGAAGAAGTTATGGAAAGGATACATTTTAATTTTCTTCGAAGTATAAATCTTTGTATGCGTGAAAATGGTGAACATTTTGAACAATTTTTGTAAAATCTCTATTTTGATTATGTTGTAAATAAATATTTTTGTGAAACCTATACACTCTAAATTATTAAAACAGAAATTTAGCGAAAACCATGAGAGTAATCGAGTCTTATTAGAAGTACCTTTTTTCAAGTAAATGAGTTGCGCAATCTAAATTTTATACTCAAACTCCTTCTCTTTCATTGGCGTAGAATTTTTAAAGGTGCAATTATTTAAAAAATCAAGTTCTACGCCTATGTATTATTATCGGACAAAATTTTAATACCATTTTTTTTGCCACATAAAACTCTACCAATATACCAAATTTCAGCAAAATCGTGTATGCCGTTTTAAATTTATATGGGAAAAACGATTTAAAAATTGTAACTTCAAGGCCCTCTGGAGCCCAAACGAAGCAACTTTGTACTAAGGTAATTTTACTTAAATCGACTTATTTTGGTCTAAGGAATATGTGGTATGTTTTTGTAAAGACCTTTTACAGACACCCTGTATAACTGTCTAACCCTATCTACTCTAAAGTGTTTAGCACTTTTATTATTCATCTAAGATGAAAAAATTTAATTTATATGCAGTTTTATGCTTAGGTGTGGGCATATTTTTTGGTTGATTTCTTTAAATATCTTAATTAAAAATTTATACTTTTCTTAGGTTCACACTGCTTTATATTCAGCCACCATTTGTCCCTATGATACAGGATACCGTGAAAACGTAGTAGAAATCTTTTCTGATGGTTGGTATATTCAAAAAGAAAAGGATGTTACAATTGATGGTTTGGCATTAGACAAAGTAGAAATTGATAGATTGGGTACGGAGTTATCAAAGACTGTTACAGTAGAGTTTTATGGAAAAGAAGAGGCCGAATATTTTATTCATTGGCTAGAACTAACTAGAAGGTAAATTCTTTATATTTATTGGAATTTAGTATTTGGATTAATTAAACTATCTCTTCAAAGTTTGCTAAATGGTTTTATAAAAAACTAGCGTTTAAGGTATTTTGTTAATATGATCTGGCTGAAGAGTGAAGTCCTATAGTGTCGATTATGAAGACTAGAGAATAAGAGGAAAATCGGCAATGGCAAAATTCTAAATTTCCGTCCTTCTTTTTATAAAGTTCGCGAAATTGACTGTAATTGGCATGTCAAAGTGTAGTGCTGTCAATTTTCTATGTAATTCAATGTAAAATGAAGTGTTTTTTTTAAATTGATGAAAAGAATCAAAATAATGTGAAAAAAGTACCCGAGTACAAGTAACATGAGTGACAAAAACCATCAAAGCAAGATTTACTTCGTTCCAGATTGTAAACCGGGATACAAATCAGATATAAAACTAAATAAAATACAAGGTGAAATCAATTCAATTGTCTTTTTAAAGCATTATAGTGTAAGCACAATAATGTATTTATGTCTAAATATAATATTTATTGTAAACTAGTCACAACACGTATCACGGAGTGTAGTTTATTTGATTACAAGTTTCTATAAAATAAAATTTTAGTCTTAAATTTTACTTAATAGAAAAGAAAATTTATTTTGTTATGGAGTTTCAATGTTAGATAAAGAGTTGCTACTGTTATTTTTTTTGTTGAACACCAATTTTGTCATTGCAAATGTTTTTTAAAGGACCCTAAATGCTTAAAATAGTGGCAGCACATATATCGTTCCTAGGGCCGATAAAGCACTTTCTAGAGATGATGCTGTTCTACCCTTTTCAGAAGATATTTCCAAATATAATGAGACTCTTTTTACTGATAGTACTGTTAGAAAAATAATAAAAAAATTTGTTAACTGTATTTAATTTTGCTCTTAAAAGTGTATTTAGGTATAATTTAAAAAAAATTAGAAACAAAATTTTACTTACCAAATTTCATCATTTAACAAATCTTTTTGAATTTGGTCATACCTACCTAATTTGCATCTTATATAGATAAAATTTAATAATTTATGAATTAAAACATGCGAAACTTATTTAGAAATAAATATAACAGTATATTATGTGCTTTATTTGGCAATAAAAAAGTTTATTTTATATTATTTTGACAAAAATATATAAAATTCCCATAAGAATCCATTTATTTTGAACAGCACTACTAGCACCAGCGCCCTTGCGGTGAATTAAAAAAGCTCAATAAGCGTTCGCTTTTTGGGACCGTACTTCAAGTATGCCGATTCGCCTCCTTATCTCTAGTATTTATAGTGTCAATGAAATATTGCATTGATAGTACTTTTTCAGTTATGCAGTAGACTGGACGATATATGGAAAAACATTGAATAGTGGTACCTAGACATACCTATACCAATACATTGTTCAAATAAAATATTAAAATGTTGCCGGTCAAAAATCCCATTTAATCTTCTCCTTCTGACATTTAGACACAAGCAATTCCAAGAGCTGTATTAGAAAAATAAATAAGATGTATTAAAATATTTAAAAATATAGGTATAAAAGAAAATATAAATAACAAATCTGCCCATTATTAGCGTAAATTAAAGAAAAATCGCGAAAATTGAGACCAATATTTAAAAACATTATACCCAGTGGTATCCTTAAATGCAAATAATTTGACAATTTTTTATATGGATTAGTAGATTAAGGATCATCACTGTCATAGGTTCGAATTTAGAAAGGAGATGTGGCGGTCAGAATAACATCATCCTGTAGATTATACCTGGGGATTTCCGAGATGATAGATACTTCTAATATTTTAATATTTAAGTACTAAGTGCCAGACAAGCTAACAATAGCGAAAAGAGAGTTTTAAAATATGTTAAAACTAGGTATCGTTAAACCTTCAAAAAGTAATTGGTCCTCTCTTTACATCTGCTTTTTAAAGATGGGTAACAATGGCCTTCTGGAAATTATCGCAAAAGTCTGGAAACGGCCAAATATCTCGTAAGCTGCTGGTCCTAATTGTACAAAATTTGAAGTACACCTATTTTGGAATACGGAGATTCCAGATTTAATATTTGCAATGTTGCCAGATTTGCCGTTTCTCTTATATTATTAGTCACTTTGGTTTTTCAAATTCATCACCCTGAATATTCAGTCATTATTGTAATCTCCTATTCAATACGAATTCAACCATATGTAACACTTATGATTTTATGTAGTCTGGAAGATCCTAAATAAATAAAACAATCATGGAGAAATGTGGTAGACGCATTCTACCATCGATTAGGGTACTGTCCTCACAAATGGAGCACATTTTGAACACTTGATAAACTAACCATTATGTTAAAAATTTTGTAATCTTTTAATTGTTACGTTTTAATGTAGTTGAAAATAGTTTGTATTAAAAAATTTATTGAGAAAATTAAACGTTGCCAGACTTCTGTTTTATTTATTTTAAGACCTTCCAGACTACATAAGTGTTTCATATGGTTGAACTCGCATTGAATAGGAGATTCAAATAATGACTGAATGTACATGGTGATGAATTTGAAAAACCAATGTGACTAATAATATAAGAGAAACGGCAAATCTGGCAACATTGCAAATATCACATCTGGAATCTCCGTATCCCAAAATAGGTGTACCTTAAATTTTGTACAATTAGGACTAGCAGTTTACGAGATAATTGGCCGTTTTCAGACTTTTGGGCCACTCTGTATATCCGGGATATCACTTTTTTTCCGGAGAAACACTTTTTTCCCAGGGAAACACGGAAAAAGTAATTTCTTAAAAAGTAACATTTTGTTCCCTGACAAGAGAGAAAATGCCAAACTTTTTCCCGTCAAAGAAAAATAAATATTTATTTTTTTCATTTTTAAATGAAATAAAAAATGCTGATTGCTGTTTTAAAAAATGCTTTTTTGTCTGCAGAGTCGCTATATAATAATAGCTATTTAAAATCAGAAGAAGCATTTCTCGTGCTATTACTTTAAATAGCTATAAGCTGATTATCTTTCCCTTTTTTGATTATTCATTCTGTTGGTTGAACATGTAACTGAGATGGAACGCTATCATAATATAAATGTAAATTATTTGTTGGGCTAGCGCCATCTATGTTTGGTAATCAAAGTCGAAGCTCGCTTGTAAGAAAAATAACTTTTTTTCTTTATTTTACATCTTGATTTGAAATTATTTTTTTCTTCTTTAAAACGTTTTTTTATCACAGAATGTTTCTGAATCAGATGTCAGATTTGATATAAAATAAATGGAACGAACGACTTACCTGTAAGGAAGTTCGTTCCATATTGTATGAACGTCTTTTCCAAATACTTGAAACACCCGGTAGTAGCTTCTTTGCGATATCTACGTGCCACAATTTTAACTACTGAATCACACTTTTTTGTTTGTTTCCTTATCGCCGCCAGCATGCAATCAGAACACGATTTTGTGTCTTTGATCGCTTTGAGGGTTTTTGTGGAGGGCGGGCGCGAAGTATTTGGAAAAGACGTTCATATAATATGGAACGAACTTCCTTGCAGGAAAGTCGTTTGTTCCATTTATTATATTTCACTGGTCTTTTCCAAATACTTGAAACACCCGGTAGACGTTTAAACAATAAATTCAAAGCGATCTCAGCAACTAGTTTATTAACATTGAAAGGAAAATAAAGACATTATTTATTTATACATATTCCTTTTGTATTATACAGGGTGAGTCATGAGGAACCTTACAGACTTCTACAATATGTAGAGTCCCTTAAGGGGTATATCATATGAGCATTAAAAAGTGGTAACTCCCCTTCGTTATTAATAGATGGGGTGTTTTGTGAATTTTTACAAAACTTTATATGGCTGTAAAATCTACAAGGATTACTAGATTTCTTTAATTTTTTGGTGGAGCATTACACTGGTGCCTAGCATTTAATTCATATCATCAAAAGTTAAAAATTCCAGGATTGGCTTAGCAAAAATTAATCTCGACGATTCTCAAAAAGTTCACCCTGTATAAGATTTTTTAAAATTATAATAAGATATTTTTAAAGTACATAGATAGACAATCAAAACTGTGTATGTGACATTTTTGTCACCTTTTTTTTATTAAGGTTCGATTTTGGGTAAAACTGAAAAATCACCTTAAGGGGTCACATAAATTATGTTATAACATAAAGAAAACATTGTTAATTGTATGGATTTGAACTAAACGAGCCAAACATAAGCCTTTAGTGAGCTACTAGATCGTTAAATTTATTTTCGACAATTTCCAGATCCGGATTAGTTCATTTTTAAATTTTAAATAGAAATCGGCCTATTTTTGTAGACTATAGAAACTACTCAACTAAATTAAACAGGTCAATAATCAATAAATAAATTGTAGCGAATAACAATAACGAACAATAAATTCACACTTATTAATTAATAATTATAAATGCTATTTATTAACCTCTAATAAAAACTGCACATTTTATTCTTGCAACTAAGATATTATATGGTTTTATTTTTATTATAAATACATAGTAGGTACCTATGTATCAAGGTAGGTTGTGATAGTTTGACGTTTGTTTGTTCTTATTTATTTGTCATTTGCAACCATTATTTATACGTGTAAAATAATATTTCGCTTTGTTTTATCTATTTTACAATAGTGTTAGAATTTTTGTTGTTGGTGTTGTTATTCAAAATGCCCCATAAGTTTTCAAATGCAGAATATGCAGATATCATTTTTATGTACGGATTCTGTAATGGGAATGGCAGAGCTGCAGCAAGAGAATATCATAGAAGATTTCCTGGTCGTCGAGTTCCCTGTCATTCAACATTTGCATCAGTTTTTAATTATTTGCGAGAACATGGCACATTCCCTAAAGCAAATACAGAACGAAATGTAGATCATGAGCAGGAAGATAATATTCTTGATGCTGTTATTGCGAACCCCACAATAAGCACCAGGAAAGTAAGTCGACAACTTTATGTTACCCAATCAAAAGTGACTAGAGTCTTACGAAAAAATA